CAGGAATGGCTGGCTTTTCATTAGAAAGGTGCATATTAGTCCATAGTGAATGGGCACTGGAAAGGAGCAAGACTAGCAACTGGAACAATTACGTTAGCTAAAACCTGTAGAGACTAGCGTATGGCTGACACCAGACAAGAAATGCATCTTTTTAAATCAGACTCGCGTATAATAGCTTCACGGCAGCCAAAATGTGTGTGCATACCGGTGCAGAAATCCCAATGCTAAAGCGGGTTTGGACTGGAATTCAGTGCCTGTCACTGAAGGAGAAGGGTATGTTGTGTCTCTTTATATTCACAGGGACTTCTGTGTAAAAGACATTTTCTTTTTAACTTGATGACAGATGTTGTACTGTGTATGGAAGAGACCTGGCAGCATGAGCTTGCAGAAAAACATCACCGACACCATCTTTTGGTAAGAGCTTTGTAATATCTCAGGTGAGCGGTAATCTAGGCTATTTGGAATGATTTTTCCCAGAGTTGCACCTAGCCATGTGTATTCATCTTGATTGGTGAGTATGTTATGGGCTAGATGGTAGGCATAATATTTCCTTCCATGAGCTGTTCAGATCAGATACTATGTGCACAGATTCAGATTGTCATGGAACCTGCCAGACTGTTGTGTGCAGAGAAGATAGATTCATAGACTATAAGGCCAGAAGGGTCCATTATGATCATCTAGCCAAATAGTTCTCAAACTATGGGTTGGAACCCCAAAGTGGATCAGAAGCACATTTTTATGGGGTCACCAGGGCTGACTTAGACTTGCTGTGGCCCAGGGCCAAAACCCAAGCCACATCACGTGGAACTGAAGCAGAAGGACTTCAACTCTGGGTTGGGGGGGCTCAGGTTGTAGGTCCCCTACTTGGGCCTGAAGCTCTTGAGCTTTGGCCCTGCTCTAGGTGGAGGGGCTTGGGCAGGCTCATGTTTCGGTGCCCCTTCCTGGGACTGTGAAATAATTGTCAGAAGGAGGAGCTCAGATTGATCTTGTGAGCATGATCTCCCAGCCAGATACCTAGGAAAGAATCCTTTCTAGTAATTCAGAGACCTCCCCATCTACTGGCCCATGAATGTGCATTAGAGATTTTTTGCTACTAGCATTTGCTGACTGGCTACATATTATTGCAGACTGTCTCATCTTGCCATGCTCTCTATGAACTTATCTAAGCCAGTCTTGAAGCCATTTAGGCTTTTTGCCCCCACTGCTTCCCTTGAAAGTCTGTTCCAGAACATCTCTCCTCTGATGGTTAGAAGACTTAATCTAATTTCAAGCCTAAATTTGTTGACGGCCATTTGATTTGTTCTTGTGTCCACATTGGTGCTTACCTTAAATAGGGTAGAGGACTGACACTTGTATCTTGATGGGGAAATTTAATCTGAGGCATATCTTTCTGCTCCAGAAGAGATCAAGTTATTGTTCCAATCAGGAAAGAAATTAGACTAAGTGGTCCTTCATACACTCCCTGGCCCTTTCACTCTTAAATAACATTTCCCTCCTTTTTTTCTTACCTTTACTACTATGCATGAAAATTAATGCCCCAAGATAAATTGGCTTTGTCCTTGTTTACACTGCTGTGCTAAAACTCCATGTCTGTACTTTCCTCTTGAAGACTGAAAACCTTCCCTCTATTGATAATGCCATCATATACCAGCCACCAGTGTGATCCTATAAGTATCTTTCACTGGGGAAGGGATAGGAGTTAATCTTTATTTTCTTTATCCTTAAAAGCACCCCTTTATCCTTAAAAGCACTTCCCAACAGAAATGAATTCCTCATATCTGGTGTTCACGGTGGCTTTGTCTTGTTGGAACAGGTATTTTTCTGTAGTGTGAGGCAGAATGATCATCCACAAAACAAAGCTAAAGCCATTGGGATATTTTGGAAATAATAGCAGTAATGTAACAGGAAAGTGCTGGCCCTTTAAGGAAGGATATAATTCTTCCAATTCAGTCCAGAATTGAGGCATTCTGGGATTTGTAGTTCAGAGAGAGACAAGACTGTGATGGGCAACCTGCAGCCTGAGGGCCACATGCAGCCCATTGAAGTTCTCTGTGTGGCTTGAGAGACATTGTGTTCGCTGTAGTCCATGTGCAAAGTTGCCAGATTAGATGAGTTTCCATCTGTGTAGCGCTTTTTCATACTAGTATTACTAAAGTGACACACACTTAAAGCAAGGATACGTGAAGTGAGGTGCATGCTAATGGCACACAACGCTGACTGTGAGCTGCACTCTCCTGCATCCAGTCAAATGCTGCTATGATTCAGTCTGTACACCCTGCACATTGGTATTAAGTGTGGTTAGCAAAACTATCCTATCCCGGGAGATCATTTGAGAAAGGGCTTGCGAAGGAGCCTGGGCAGTGATTGGTGACGCAGCAAGGGAGAGCTGGATGACTCAAGAAGAAATTGTAGGAAGGGGTTGGTTTAGTTTAGCTGCTAAACTATCCAACTAAAGAGGCACTCAGGTTTGGTTATGTATCCATTATTACCATTGACCATATCATGTAGCAATAAAGCAGGGTTCAATGTAAAGAGCAGCTGGTACTAAGGTAATCAACCTTTGCCTGATTGGTTATTCAGACTACACAGCGAAAGATAAGTCAAATTCTTCTGATTGTTTTCACAGCACTTTGGATTTAATGCCCTGCGGAAGAATGTTATAAATGCTCGTCTCCAGCAAATGAGAAGAAATTTGGCTCATCAGCAGCATCAAGTAATGGTGGGTGTAGTCTTGTTTTAGGCTGCGTGTATGAGACCTTTTTCTGAACCTCCCCCCTTCTCACACCTGTTCCTAAGAAGGGTTTTCTAGTGCAGGGGTTCCCAACCTTTTTTAATACCATGGACTGGCAAACCCATTCACAAACTTCTGGCAGACTGGCAAAACTTTATTTGCATAGTCGTTATGCAAATAGGCAAATAAAATGTTATTTGTCCACCTAGCCCCAGTCCAGCCCCTTGCTCCCCAGTGTCTGACACCCTTTCACTCCCACCCCTACACTTCATGTCCTTTGACCCTTTCACCTCTGATCGCTACAGACCATGCCAATACCCTCTTGCCTTGTGACCCAGTCATGCTTCACCCAATACCCCTTTGATCCCACCCCCGCACTCCCCAGAGCGAGGCTGCTCTCTCTAGGGAGCTTGGCTATTACTTGCCATTTGGGCAAGTGGAGCAGCCGCTGGTGGCGCACACCCCTTCCCTTCATAAGCGTGTCTCATGCCCCTATGGGTAGAGGTGGACCCTGGTTGGGTTGCCATCTTACCTGTGTGGGAAAAGAGAGGGAGGTGCCTCCTGCTTTTGTTTTAGTTTCAGTGCTGCCGCCAGGCAAAATCGGCTGCCACAGACAGCTGGCTTCAGTTCTGGCAGCTGCTGCAGCCTGGCAGTTAAGAACTATTGCTCCAGTCAATTTGTTATTCCTTTGCTTCCAGCAGTTTCAAAATATATTTCCTGTTTAAGTCTAGGATCAGTCAACATATAACTAGGCCCATATGTCTGTCATGCAGTCCCCTTGTGAACCTCAGTGTAGCCAAGAAGACTTAGTCTCCCTATGTGTAGAGGGAACAATTGGCTGTAACCCCATGACAAAAAACGTGCAGAGCACGCAGTGTGGCAGCCACTGGATATAGCAACTTTTCTGTGTTCAGATGTTTAAAGACATTCAGAACAGCTGGAAGATAACAGAATTGTCAGGCGTGTGCTTTTTAGATTGGTTGTCTAGAGCAGCACAGAAAACTTTAAATAACTCTGCCTCCAGAATACTGTAATAGCAGGATATTTACATTGTCATTCTTTTGGATTCTCCTTCTCTTGTATCCTATGTTTTTCTTTCCTCTGCTGTTTTGCTCCAGTTGCTGCAGAGTTTTTGGAATCGCTGGAACTCGAAATCACTACAGGTGCTTCAGGGAAATATATTTCCAGATACAATTAAAGAGCTGAAACTCAGCAGCTCTTGGTTTTAGTTTTAAATCTGGTAATGCTTCAATGTGTGAGATCATCCTGACCCATTATGAAGAGTGTCCTAGTTCTGGACCAAATTTTATTTGAGAAACATGGAAGGGAAATTGGTGTTGCAAAGCCATAACCATTGTCTAGGCTAGTTTATTTAAAAAACAAAACAAAAAAACTCCTCCCATGAGAGGTTGGAGTACTAGTGTAGACATGGCACAGGTAGTTTTGCCACCAGGTTGCATAGACCTGCACTGAGCTGTGGTTAAAAGTAGAAGGTTCGGAAATGTGGCTAGTCCCAGGAAGGCGCAGAAACAGGCAAACTATTACTAAATATCTTTTAAACTTTTATTAGAATACTTCCAGTTATAGTTTTTCTTTATTAGTCTCTTACATGCGTGGCCGCCAAATAACTATTAGTAGGAGCAATAAGCAAAGTGCAATACAATAAATGAAAACTCCCTGAGCTTTTTCTAAGTCCCAATAGTTGTCAATAAGGGACCAGGGATTATCAACAGTTATGTTTACATTAATCTTACTCATAAGTCTAATTACTTATCTAAAACTCTTAACAATACTACTTAACAAAACTTTTAACTAAGTTTAGATAGCAATACTCACACTTAGAAAAAACACAAAGTACAACAGCAACAACAGCATAGTTGGTATACGTTACGCTCTACAGGAACTCTGGTTTGGTGAGCGGGAGGTAGCCTTCGGGTGATCAGTCCTTGGGCCTGGCTCGTATTCTGCCATCCAATGTTTATTCGGGATTCCTCAATTTGATATAGGAGGGGTAGCTGTTTTATAGAGAACTTTTGGGCACTTTTTGTGATAGGCTAGCAGACCCTGTCTGCTAAGTGACAGGGGTAAGGGGGTGAGATGGTTTCCTGTTTTTCCTTTCCTGCCTTATCGGGCATGGCACAGTCAGCACAACCAGCATGAACTTTACATGAACTTTTTAGGTCTGGTTTTGGTTCCTGTTCGTCGCTGACCTTTAAGTTACATAGTGTAAGGGTTTTCATCAAGGGGAAGTTGACCTTTTGCTTGGATGGCAATACGCGCGAGAGGCCTGGCCAGCAAAGAGCCTGCTTCCACATGAGCAAGGCTAGAAAATAGGCTGGAAAAAAATCTGCCCTGTCTACCCCTAAGTTCTACCATCATAGAAGCCTTGAGCATTTTTTTGGGCAAGTGTTAACAGCCATAGAGGTTTTAAATTCCTCTTTAAACCCAAAGGTACTTACTCCAGGTCTGAGTGCATAGTTATGAAGCAGTAGAAGAAACTCTTGCACTTGTACCTGCCTACATTGTGGTTTTAGATAAATATGTAACTTCTGCTCTTGATGCCTTTCTTTTGGTGGGCAGGGAGGAATCTGTATGGCATACATAAAGCATTTTAATGTAACATGATTATTTCTTGATTGAGACAGATTGTTTAAGGCACTAAGTTTTATATGTAGCTCAAGCTGTTCTTTCATATAGAGGAAGGTTGTTTGCTAATACTTGAGTTTTATATTTTTATTTCAGGGTAAGGCTTCTGCAGAAGTCTGTCAGGATATGGTTAAGGAATGCCAAGTGGAGAAGACATAGGCAGGTATCTGTCACGTTTAAGTAGCTATTACACACGATATAACCCAAATTATTATAAAAGCTGGATAAACAAGAAAGCTACTTGCACCGGTCAAAGGATGGGTGAATGTGTCTGTCATGTCCGTGGTGCAGTAAGTTCACAGGATAAAATCCCCATGTCCTGTAGCTGGTTATAAAGAGTTGTACATCACCCAAACAGAGCCCTTCTCTGGGAACCAAAGAATGTTAATGTTGGTGCTGGCATTTCTGGAAAGGAGGAAGCCCTTATTAATTTATTATCATTATTACTATTATTATTTAGTTAAGGGATGAGCAGTGTTTTTGATGTGGGGGTTATGCCAAGATTTTGGTAGATGGTCAGGGCAGCACTCTCTCATGAGGTTTGGGATGGAGGTTGAGTGCAGAAGGGAGTTGGAGGTAAGGGATGCAGGAGGAGTTGTGGGTCTGGGAGGGTGTTTGGATGGAGGAGAAGATTGTGTCTGGGCAGGGGACTGAGGTAGAGGAAAGGGTGCAGGGTCTGGGAAGAGGTATGGGTGCAGAAGAGGATTCCAACCTGCAGAAGGAGTTTAGGAGGGAGGGGGTGCAGGGTCTGAGAGGGATTTGTGACCTAGGACAAAGGTGCTGGAGGGGGTCCAAGGATTTGAATTGTGACTGGGGGTAGGAGATTGGGATGCAAGGTCTGGGAGGGAGTTGTAATCTAAAGGAGCGGTGTAGGAAGTGGTGTAGAGTCTGCTAGGGGATTTGGGTTACATTAGGTGGTACAGAGGGTTTGGATTATGTGGAGTAGGGGTGAAAAAGGGAGCAGAGAGAGGTGGGGTGTCAGAGGCATGCTGTGGCCAGGAGACACTTACCTAAATGCCTCCTGGCTAGCAGCCTAGCAGGTTCCTTAAACAGGCTTCCTGCCCCACCCCCACACTGCTGATGTGGGGACTATGTGCTTCTTTGAATGCTGGGAACCTGGGAGAAGGAGGGAAGGGGTACTTCCCCAAACAATGGGAGCTGCAAGATTGTGCTGGGGACAGGAGCACTGTATGAAAGCCTCCCCCCTGCCCTCTCCCCAGGCTCGCAGTACTCACAGAAGCACATGGCCCCCCACAACTGGCTGCTCTGAGCACTGTGCACAGGGGTGGGGCAGGCAGAGACCCTGGCTGAGGCTTATGCTGAGCTGCATGCCAGATGTGGTGGCTTAGCAAGCTGAATGTGGCCTGTGGGTCATAATTTGCCTGCCCCCAAGTTTCTAGTAGTGCCAACATTGTAAGCTGTGTTATGAAATATTACTTTGTTCTCAGCACAGCCTCCAGAATCAGCTGGAACTGTTGAGTTAGTTGAGTGGAATTGCTTTTCTACTTCCTTCCCTGAGAGGTGTGGATTAGAGAAACTAGCTGCCATAACACTTGCTGTGGTAGTCCATTGGGAAAGGGAAACACTATTCTAAAATGAAACCAAGTCTGTCATTTGCTATATAGATGCAGTATGCCGAAGCTGACACTCATTATGGAAGAGTGATCTTGCCTGTCATCTTCCAAGCTTGGAAGAGGTTTAAGAACCATCAGCACTGCTGGAGAGTGATGAAGGAAACAGCATCTTGCTTTCATAGGTACAATGGATTGTTCTTTTGGACTGACTTTAAAAAGAGTATGCACATTGGACCGCAGCAACCAGTGTCGTGTAACTAATGGACAAAAATGTTTAAAAGAGGGTTACAAAGAGGGAGAAAAATTGTTCTCCTTGGCCTCTGAGGATAGGACAAGAAGCAATGGACTTAAATTGCAGCAAGGGAGGTTTAGGTTGGACTTCCGGAAAAACTCCCTGTCAGGGTGGTTAAACACTGGAATAAATTGCCTAGGAAAGTTGTGGAATTTCCATCTCTGAAGGTTTTGAGAGCAGGTTAGACAGACATCAGGGATGATCTACACAGTGCTTGGTCCTGCCATGAGGGCAGGGTACTGGATTTGATCTTTTGAGGTCCCTTGCAGTTCTAGTATTCTATGATTCTATTGTAAAATCCTCTTAGGTCACCTAATAAAAAGATAATATTACTTACTGGGACCTGTCATGCTCTAATAATAAAATAATAATAATCATAAGACTAACAGGAAGGATATATTTCTGACCACCTGACCAGGATGATGTTAATGAGTTAAATAAATTCTTAGGGAGATGGGAGAGGCTATTAAAATTTTAAAAAACCTCAATGATGATGGGGGATTTCAATTATGCTTATATTGAGTTGGGTACATGTCACCTCAGGATAAAGTATCACAGATAAAGTGACACAGATGCACAGATAAAGTTTTTTGATTCCTTACATTTCTGCTACAGCTAGTCCTGGAACCCACAAGAGGAGATGCAATTTTTTATTTTAGTCCTAAGTAGAGCACAAATCTGCTCCAAAAGGTGAATATAGCCAGACTGCTTTATAATAGTGGCCATAGTGGAAAAGGGGGTAAACAGGTGGCAAAATTTGCAGATGATACAAACTTCGCTGGAAGATTGTGAAGAACTACAAAAAGAGTGAAAACTGGATGACTTGGCAACAAAATGGCAGATGAAATTCAAAAAACAACTAGATAAATTCATGGATGATAGGCCCATCAAAGGCTATTAGCCAGGATGGGCAGGGATGGGGTACCTTTCCAGAAGTTGGAAATGGGCAAACAAGGGATCAATCACTTGCTGCTTCTATTCATTCTCTCTCTAGCATCTGGCATTGGCCACTGTCCCAGGACAGGTTACTGGGCTAGATGGACCATTAGTCTGACCCTGTGGCTGTTCTTATGTTCTCTTGTTCATCAGTAGCTGCCTTGTGCATTCCCTTATGCTGTTCCCTTTGATATTGATACCAGGGGTTATTGTATCCCACAAGTTGGAATGCATAGAGTCCCTTGCAGAAACAGTTATATTACTTTGGATAACAGAATTTGGCTGAAATTTTGTGGTAATGTGACCTAATGAATTCAGATGGGACAGAGGCAGGAATCCATGATGTTTCATTTTGGCTCTGATACTGACTTGGAGCTTGTCTGCATGTAAAGAACCACTGCACCTGGAATCGCATTGGTTACAATTCACATCTTTGTTTACTGTGATAAAATTGTGTGCATGGCACTCTGCATTGGTTTAAAGCTTTACTTCATTTCAGTTTGATCCTGTCCTTTTCCAAGGGCTGTATTTATCATAAGCAAGCTAAATTGGTATAAGCCAAGTTTAAGCTAGTTCTGTGTCCATGCAAGTTTGTACTCATAACTAAATGCCATCACAGTTTGTTAAACTAGAACAGCATGTGTGTATAGACAAGTCCCAAATGTATAACTTAAATGAGTAAAAGTCAATGTTGGTTGCAGTGAAATGCGCTCTAAATGCGAAATAAGTATCTAACTGCAGACTTGCATTAAAATAATTAAACTCTAACCAATGTAGTTATTCTGGTTCCAGTTTCTGTACAGAGAAATTCTTGCATTGTTTGTTGCCTTGACAAGTCACTAATGACGTTCCTTCTCCAGAGGAGCTTAGCACTCCCATCTTTCACTAAAATAAACAGAAGTTGAGACCTCTGAAAATTAGGCCACTAACCTCTGTTTCCCTACCTGTGAAACAGGGATAATGAAATCACTAGGCTACTTCACTGGGTGTTGTGGTTGGTTAATGGTTTGTACAGTGTGTTGCACTAAACAAATGTACCATTTTATATTCTCATTAGCATCTTTTCACTTCTGCAATGATAGGGGGAAAAGCTGAGTATATTACTCTTTAGAGATTTTAAAAGAATTTATGTGGACTCTTGTGATTTACTTGAATTCCGCCCTGGCTGAGTGGCTGGAGTGAGATGCAACTAAACTTAAGTGTTGTTCCAGCTTTCTGATTAGAAAGTACATGACAAAGCACAGCTTCTCCACAGATCGGCAGTGTCCAGACCTAGATTTCTACAGTGTCTGCCTTCCTGGGAAGCATTTTTTCCTTAAGAAAGAAGAAAACACTTTCTTTCCAGCATATCTGGTCCCTGTTCCCACCTGGCTCTTCAATTTTTTGTATAGTCTAGAAATGATTATGTCCTAGGTTGATAAATTTCTGCCATCAGAAGTCAGGCTGCACAGATTAAAAACAAGACACAGGAGAGCCATGGTACTGTTAGAAGATGTCTTGCTTTTTAGAAGAGATGCATGTAGGCTTAGATTGAGTTTTGAGGGCAGCTGCTCTTCTGAAAGCAACTAGAGGAGTTGGTTTTGGCTAGGTTGGATTGCAATTGTGGTGTGCTGGAGATCAAGATAAAGAGCATGCCCAAAGCCCTTATTTTTCTAGCTCAGGAGGCTGAATGAGTTGATTATAGGCAAATTGGTTATTGCACAAAGCAGCTGATACGTGGTTTATGCCTCTGCTTCCAGAAGAGTTAGGGATGTTAATGACTAGTTGGGAGGAGTTGGTTTTGGCTAGGTTGGATTGCAATTGTGGTGTGCTGGAGATCAAGATAAAGAGCATGCCCAAAGCCCTTATTTTTCTAGCTCAGGAGGCTGAATGAGTTGATTATAGGCAAATTGGTTATTGCACAAAGCAGCTGATACGTGGTTTATGCCTCTGCTTCCAGAAGAGTTAGGGATGTTAATGACTAGTTGGACTATCCAATAAGGAAATGTTTAGTGGATAAACGAGGCAGGAGTTGTCTATACTGCCGCCC